TGTATAAATTATTCTTTTGTATTTTTGGATGATAAAAAGTTTTTGTGGAACAACTTTAATTGCGCAAAACCGCGGATTCAAATTTTAGACCTCCTCACAGCTGGTAAAAGATTCCAACGGAAGAATATCTACTAAAATAAAAAAATATTTGCGCATGTTTCGTCGCAATCCGTGGGTAAGAATTGCCACACGCAACCCGCCACTAGGTACTCAAGGGAGGCTTTGACGTAATAATACAAAAAAAGGCCGTGTGCTCACTATCCGAGGACAACAAATAATCAAAAAAGCCATGTCAAATCAAGAAGTTAATCCACATTCACAAAGAAAAATGACATCAAATGAGGGGGCGAACAAGTCGTGGGCCTGGCTATAAGTGACACGCCTACCTATGACAGTTGCAGTAAAATATTTGAGGGGCACTACAACTGCGCCTGTCATGATATCATTGATAGGTCCCATGTGTCTGTGGTTTCACCGACACGCCCTTACCCTTCAAAAACGGACCGCAATAATGTTCACAAGTTTTAATATTAACAAGTCGACGTGTACTCGTAACCGTGCAGTGCCACTCAGAGCTTTAAATCGCAAAGATCTGAGATACGTTAAGTGGGACAAGTTGACAAGTCTCACGTGCCTGTATTTTCGCCAGCACCCTTCCCCTTCAAAACCGGAATGCAGTTATGCTTACATTAATTAATGGCGGCAGAAACAGGTAAGGTGGCAGTACCCTAGACTAAATCTTTCTTTCTACTTCTACTAAACAAGTCCCAAACCCAGTTACCTGTAATTTCACCTGTATCGTTCAAAAATGGAATGGAATGGAATGCTTGGCTGCAGAAATAGATATGATGACTACATCTCTGGGTGAAGTGTTTCTCAAGGAGCTCTACCAATAGTGGCGATATTATGCAGTGTAACTTACTAAACGTTTCTCTATTGTTGCCTGATTCGATCAAATTTAGCGCGGCATAAATCGCGGCTTTGCCTCCTATAGTTTACGTCATTTCACGCCAAGGTTGCGTGTAACGTTGGTGCACTTTATTTTTACCCCAAAAGTAAACTTTGTTGATTTATTCCAGACCGTAAAGTATGACTCATGAAACCAGGATTTACGATTGAAACCCGGTTTTTTGGAAACAGACATTGTAGTTTAAATGGCTTATTGAAATACAGTTTATTCCTAGTAGAAAGAAATCTAATTCCGTAAACATTAATCATGAAAATTCATTTCGTAAAACCATGGAACTGTATGAATGGGAAATTGTTGTTATATGCTTCCCGTTTAGCTCTTGCAGGTTGTCATGATCGGTCATAAATTTGAAATAAATATTGTAAATGATAAATGTATACAAATGTTTGTTTGTGTCAATATATATTGTATATATAAACACGTTATAATTACTATGAACTCGGCTCCGACTACCTACTTACAGCCTTTAGAGTCGAACTTTCATTTGTATAAAGTTTTATCCAAGAAAACTACCTTGGCCAACGCATTATCATGGCCATGTAAGGGGGAACGCTGCCAGCATCTTCGGCACCTTGCCGCGGGGGCCCAATTTTATTCATATAATTTAATCCTAGTTTTACTTTCTAATATCTAAGCTTTTATTGTACATTACCTGTATATTTCAACTAAATGTCTAATAAAAACTTTCTTTGTAAACACGGGCCCACACATACATACACTAACAACTAACAATCTTCATCCTATTGTATCTAAAGCTATTTTAACTACAGTAGCGGCACCCTATGATGGCCGTTTTGACAGATGACAATAGTGATATCAAGGGCCTTACCATGAACTCTTATTACAGTTCTGTATAGGTTCGTAATGACAAAAGCGGGATTGTGATATACATTTAATGTAGCGCTATCTCACTATTTTTTTTTATTATTCATTTGAGGTCCTAAACTGAAACGTAATAAGAATTCATGGTAAGGCCGGTGATCTCAATTCATTATCGAAAAAAATATATTCCAATGCAAGTCGCATCTATAAGTTTTTACATTTATAACTAGTATTGCAATGGGTAGCTGATAAAATTTTTTTTATAATACGAAAATAAAAATGTTTACTTAATTTATCGTCAGTTCGAAACTGCTTTGTTTTGCATTGAGCTTAGAAGTTGTCCAGCACAACTTGTGCTGGACAGCGATCCTATAAGTGACGATCGTGTTAGATTTCATTTTTTTACATTTGGAATTTCGATAAACAAATACCGCGATTTGTGTCATAGATTTATACATCCATAAATTTTACTGCAATCACTATGGATAACAATGTACAGCAATTAGTTCCTTCAACGCAGTTATGAATTAATACAAAAATTGATGAACGGACAAACATCAAAACGGTCATGGCGTGCCGGTACTTTAGTTGATTTTAATGTTTGCTTTTATTTTGTAAATCTTTAAATACACGTATCTTTTTGCTTTATGCATATCTTTCTTACGTCTCATCTAATGCACACACACCTTACACGCACTCACACACGCAACACACGCACTCACACATACATCACACGCACTCACTCACACATTACACGCACTCTCACATATTTTCAATTTTGTCATCTTTCTTTTCTTTTTTCTTTTTTATTATATAATTTATTTCTATAGATGATTTATTGATCAGAAATTCGGGAGTTGGAGGCCTGGAGACCTAAAACACAGGGTATCATAGTTTAGGCTCCAACCTCTAAAAATTTTCCTATATACACTACTGTTATTTCATTTAAATTGTTACAAATTTGTGGAGGAAATAAAGAATTTACTTACTTACTTAATTACTTCCGTCTGCTTAAATGTGAAAGGGTCACAGCCTGGTGCTCTATGACACAGGTTAATTCTAGTATTGACACCAGATTTTCACAAACTATCTTCCGTAACATGTGAGGATCATAGGTATTTAAGTATATACACACATCAAAAGTGTGTAGGGATCAAGTACGTTTTTGCCAATTACTGAAAATCTGTTTTTTTTTAATACTGATGGGTTTTTTAGTTATATCTGATAATTTGAATTTGAAAATCGAATTGACCATCATATATATATATATCTACGGACCTCACACCTTACTGAAGATAGTTATGTTTGTGAAAATCTACTGTTCATACTAGGAATATAAAGTATAAGTTTATTTTAAAGACAATAAAGACATTTTCATTTCATTTCAAAGCGCAATCCCTATAAGAGCTCCGTACGCATTCTTCTCAAGGGAATCTGCCTTACGAATGCGTGGTAGACTTTAATCAACGTAGCTATTTCAAGTGTTATTTGCTTACCTATGAAATAAAGATTAATAGAATTTGAGTTTGTATTTGATATGGAGAGCGATCGCATTTCAAGTTTTTACTCAATTAACGCAATGTAAGTGGATCGAGGTGAGAGCGCAAATTTTTACAGCCTGATGGAGAGCACGACAGCATCTTTTGGATTGGAATGCGAATATATTATTTATTAAAACTTGTTCTGTATTACAGAAAATTTTTATAAACTTCGTGAAATCCTGAACTGGCATTAAGCCAGTGCGATAAAATCAGACCTATACTTACCAAAGACCAGTGCTTTGAAGTGGAATGCATGTAGGTGGATACAAGAACCATTTTTTAAATATATTTTTTTTTATTAGACAACATTACATACGTAAGTATAAGTTACGTAGTTACGTAGTAAGTAACTAAATCACTTGTGTTTTGGAAACCGGAAACAACGACGGTACCACAAACACCCATTAGTTTTTTATACTGACCCGGCCGGGGTTCGAACCCGGAATCTCAGAGATGGCGACACCATGAAAACTGGTATGCAAATATCCCAAATTACCGTGTCTCCTTAAGCAAAAGACCCCTCTTTTGCCAATAGTGGGATAGAGCTGGTTTATAAGAAATAAATAAACCGCATCGCTAGAAACATTTAAATAAAACCTAACAAAGATATTTTGTTCACAAAAAGGGTACTTATTGTACGTTGATACCAAACAGTTTTATTAAATTTCTTCAAATTTTTGTCAATTGACGGATAAAATTCTCGGAAGGGATAGCAAAGTGCTGGCGACATTATGGAAATAGGATTGCGTGTTTGAAATCGACTTAAAAATCGTGACTTTGTGACTATTGAATAAAAAATGTTTTACAAATTGATAAAAAAGCTTTGCAAGCTGAATTTTTTTGCAAGAAATTTGAGAAACAGTTTGTAGAAACATTTTCCCCTTTGATACGGGAGATCTTTACAAATCGTGTTGTGAACAATACGTTTGTGTTATATTATACTTGTATTTAATGCTAACGTGTGAAGATGTTTTGTTTCTTCTAATATTTTATTATACACTCCACCATCATCCAAAAAAAAAAGAAAAATGAAAAGCGGTTTTTTTATAGACTGTTTTTTTGTGTGTATTACGCGATTACTTACGATATTTGTGAACCGATTTTGATGAATTCAAATGTTAAGAAAGGGTGGCAAATGATTCCACTTCTAAGGGTGAGAAATTAGGGGCTGAATCCGGTTTATTGAATTTCACTCAAACTCCGTTAATCGCTTTCAGTACACTTAGCAAATAGTTGGTTTTTTTTTTTAAAGTTATAACAAGATTTTGATACAAATAAGTTTCATCGTGAAAAGTTTAGTTTCATAAAAACTTTGGAAAATTCTCGAAAGGTTCAAAAATCGAAAGAAAAACGTACAAACATTTGACAGACAGAAGTTATTGAAGTTTTCTTAGCTGTTGATCGAAATTTAAGATTCTAGATTATGACATTTTTATGCAGCTGTGAGTAAATTTTAAAAAATGCAGCTGTTTGTCTGTTACTTTATTGAAATCACATGTGGAGAAAAGTCCAGCCATAAAAGACAACACTTAAAAACTCATCGCATTGCGTGCTCCTGCCGGGAATCGGCTGAATGCCAACTTCTGCTGCTCCCAAATTGAATTAAAAAAGAACACAAAACTTCCTGTTAAATATAGTAAAAGGTGAACGAACGTCGTAGCACTGACCTCCTTTCTGCGTGATGTTGAACGTGCGCATTCGGTACGAATCCTCGTCTGGTTCCTCCTCAGCCTGAAGGGCTGGTCGTGGGACATCTAGGAAGGCGTTGGAGCGCCGCGGCTGACCAGAAGACCCCGCCGGTGGCCTGCGCCGGGCGGACGCCTGCCGCCTCACTTGCGGCGGAGTCTCAGCCTCAGCCAACCGAGGCTCAGAGCTGTACCGAGCCCTGGTCTCCTTATCCAACTGCTGCTGCTGTTGCTGCCTCTTGTACCTCACTGAACGTCCACCGGTGATGCGGGCTGACTGTGAGCGCGTGGCGGGCCGGCGACGCGGCGCGGGAGTCGTCTCCATCGGCGCCGCCAGCGCTTCCATACTCGCGGAAGCCGGCGCGCATATTGATTGCGAGCGTTTCGTGCGTCCTTCCGTGGCCATAGTCGCGACGGTACTGACTGAATTTCAGACGTTGCCCCTCTCTGCCTCACCCCGGACTTGTTGCATCCCGGCTTATAGGATTAGGGCTCATTTAAAATTGGGCACTCAGAATTCTGAACACTGAGCTCGTTCTGTTACATTTGTTGTAATTATATGCATGAAACTCATTCAATCAGTTAACTTTGTTAACAATGTTAAGTACCGAGTTCTGCGGGGCAATTTAATAAATAATTTCGAGACATAGAATTTATTTGTTTACTTTCTTTTATCTGATCATTCGATTTTGTAGTAAATATATTAGAAATACTGACAAATTGTGTGTGAAATTCATTGAGTGTTGACATTGTTAATGATTATGTTTTTAAAGACAATTTTTATACAAAAAGCATAATGTAAGCCACAGGTTCCCAAACATTTTGGCTGACTGCCCACTTAGACAATAAAAAAATTTCAACGCCTACCGCCACAATAATAATCGAAAACAAGTACAATTCAGGTTCTTTTTTTCAAATGTAGTTGCTCCCGAGGCCTCTACTGCCCCCTAGGACTCTCCAGTGCCCACTGAGCAACACTAAACATACCTATTTAGAGGTATAGCGATTCTATATTATTTATCTCTCTTAAACCAGAAAAACTTAACTTATTATAACAACAACACAATATGACGATTTCGGTGGCTCTACTATTTGCATTGTGAGGTCTCGGGTACGATTCCCGGTAGGACCAATTTGAGGAAAGGAACTTTTCTAAGGTCGGGCGTTCTGAATGTGCGCCGGTGTAAATTCTATTGCTCTGGTACGCATAGTAACATGGAATTCCCTAGTTTCTATACCAAGTAATTAGTGTAGTTAACTAGCAGGTTATTATTATTGTAAAGGTGTAATATAAAGTTCTCAGTAAATTCTTTAAATTAATCTTTTCAAAGACGATTATTAAATTCTCAACTGAGAAATTGCCCTAGGCGCATTGCGTTGCTCTTTCTTTTAGACAGATTTTGTTTTTTCCTCTAATTAGGTATTTAACTGTTTTTAAATCATGTATTATATATTATTAGTGTAAAGGACCAATCGACGAGCCGTTCCATTAAGCCAAGCCATTATTAGCGTCGTGTAAATAGACATAATCCACTATCGATTATCTCCAGACCTATAAAGACAGTCCAGTTCAATCCACTAAATTAGAACGAGTTAAAAATTTTCAACCCAATACCTTCCGCCATCACACGTGCACTGAATTGGTTCGTGTAATGCCTTGTGTGAACGTGTATCCTGAGCCACTCCAGGCTGCCTTGTTGTCTAGTAAACAATTTAATAATCTCAGTAAAGAGTACTAAAAAACCGACCTGAGAAGTTCGTGAAATTACATCTATTTGCCAAATTGTATTGAAATCGGTTACCGGATAGTATGCGAAACCGGGTTCATCCCCTAGTTTGCCACCCTAAAAAGGTGGAATAATTTCTTCAAATTTAAATGGTACCAATACTGAGGTTCAAACAAAAAAGAACCAGTGTCATAAAGCACCGGGCTCCCACCCTTCCACCTATACGCAGACGCAAGAAAGTTAGGCATAAGACAAATTTTTCATAGACAAGCAAGCAAGCTTGAGCAAGGCAACATTACAGACGTTGTTCTGATCCGAAAGTAAGTAACTAAGGCACTTGTATTATGGAAATTGTAAACAGCAACAGGACCAACCACAAACACCCATACCTGAGAGAAGATACAAAAGTTAGTTTTTCTATATTGGCCCGGTCGGGGATCTGCTATAACCAAGTTTTCATCCCTATATTATGCTGGCTAAGCATTTTGATTTTTAATAAAAACAGACGCAGCTGCGTGGCCGGCCAGTTAGCCCATTAACCACACCCGCGCAACACGCGTTAATTTGAAGCAGAGATCTTAGGCTGTTAACAGATTGGCTGCGTGTAATCAACTTCATGCAGCCGAGATCGCGTATGCATGAAGTTTATAACGACTTCACGCATTAACTGCATGCAATCCATCTCGGCTGCGTGAAGTTGTTATCAACTTCATGCAGTGGAGGTCTCAACTGCATGAAGTTGATTACAACTTTACGCATTAACTTCAAACATGCAGTCAATCCGTTGGCAGCCTTAATGCAATCCCGCTATTTACATATTTTGTGAATTATTTAGACTGTCTAAATTTCAAGTGTGCTTAATAAATAATTTAGGGTGATATTTGTACTTTTTTAAGACTAATCTCTAATAACCGGCGCCTCCTAAAAGGTCGAACCCGGGACCTCAGAGATAGCGAAAACGTAAAAATCGGTGTGCAAGCCACTCGACCACGGATTTCGATGTAAAATGGCGTACAGTTTAGTTAAAATCTTGGCTCATTTACACGGCGCCAATTAACGAGCCATTCTTCAAAGCCAAGTCAATCGGCCAGTCTAGTGATAAGCCTACCCATAACAGTTGCATTGCCACTCAGGGCTTTAAAATACAAAGATCTTAGGAGGTCTGCCACTGCGCCCATCACCCTGAGACATAAGTTGACAAATCCCATGTGCCTGTAATTTTACCAGCACCCTTAGCCTTCAAAACCGGAACGCAGTATTGCTCACATTACTACTTGGCTGCAGGAACAGGTAAGGTGGCAGTACTTCCCTGGACGAACGCTTTCAGAAAGAACTTTACTGCAACTTATATACGAGGGCGATGCCTGAGTTTTGCACAACAAAACCAAATCGATTTGTTGCTGGTTTCTTGGTCAGAACTTTCAGACAAAACATAACAAAAAAAAATTTTAAACGCGTAAACACTGAGACTAAAATGATAAAAAGAAATAAAGAAAAAAAAGAGAGAAATGGAAAGAAAAAAGAAAGAGAGAAAAAATAACGTGTTCATGACACCTTGTGTAATAACATCTTTTATTACGATGTTTGCTTGCGAAAAAAAAGCACTGGTCAGAAAAGTGACTAATTGTTAGAAAGCACACTTAATTTTAGTTCAGAGCTCTCAAATTATACGAATATAAACAACACTATAAAAATAGATTATTAGTTCGCTTTCTCAGCTAACCAACAAGAAAGACGATTTATGTTTACAATCTTTTAAGTAAATTTGTTTTTTTTACATGCTGTATAAATATTTTTTCATATCTGTCGGAAATCGTCGTGTTTCGGCTGTCGTCGGACTTCTGTCAGTAGCCCTTTGAACTTGGTGCTGACCGGACGCACTTAATTGACTTAGAAGTATGCAGAATAGCTTTGAAGTATACAGATCACTTGAGTTTACCGAATGTCACGATGTTTTTAACGAATATTATGGTAGTAAAACGTAGTATAACGTAACCTGCCGTCAGCTAACTAAAACGCGGCTAGTGACAAAAGGTCAAACAACCATTATAAATAGCAAAAAATAGAGAACAAATTTCTCTTTTAAAACCAGTTAAAATTAGTTAACGTGTTTGACTTATCGGAGCTTACCCCAACGATGCATAGCTGAAATATCGTCAAACCATTTCAATATTGTAAAACTGGGTTATGGTTTTCTTTTAATAATTATAAGAAACTAGTGAAGTAATTTCGAAGTAAACTAACTTTTTTATAATAAAAAAAACCAATCTCAAAAGTTCGTGAAATTGTATCTATTTGCCAAGTTTTATTTTTGTGCAGCACCCAGACAAACCAATATAGGTTTAGGGGTGTAAAGAAATCATTGTATGTAATATTTTTAAAGTTTATAGAAATAAATAAATAAATAAATAAATATTTAAATCGGTTAACGGAAAGTACGCGAAATCGGATTCACCCCATAGTTTGCCGCCCTTAGAAGTGGATTATTTTCTTCAAATTGACATGGGACCAACACTAAGGTACCCTCCAACAAAAAAGAATAATCGAAATAAATACAAATAAATAAAAATAAACTTCCTTTTTTTGGCGTCGGTTAGAATAGTGATAATGTACTTGACGCTCTTTTCCCTTCAGAGTAGGCAGAGACAAGGGTCTCTACCAAGAAGGGTCCTTGCCACGTTTATGAGACACATCTTTCGCCTCAACAACACTCATCAACCCTTTCATGCTCGTAAGTTTTATTCGACACGAATTTAATCGCGCACACGCGCGCGGTCGCCGCGCGTAGAACGCGTTGCCGCCGCCCCGCGCAGCGACCACATGCATCTGTCATTGCAAAGTATGCTCTATTCAAAGAAATTTAAATGTTGTTGCCTAGTAAATAGAATTCAGATTCGCCATTAACTAATATACGTGAAAGCGTGGTAACCGGGCGGTCGCGAAAACTTTCGCATTGTGTAACTGGGCGCTAAAGATACACTTGACCTGTCCTTTCTTTAGGACGTCCCCAATAAGGTCGTGGTTGTTTAAAATCTATCCCAAGTAACGTGGTTGTCAAATAATAAGGTCGAATGATAATGACGCCACAAACACTCGAATTTAACTACCAGTCGCAGTCGTTCAGATTAAATCGTAAAGCAATATTTCACCGGATATCCGGCCTTACGTATTACAATATAAATCACTTCTCTGCTTTACCGGAACATTATTTTGACAAACTGCGTTAATTAAAATAACTCTAACGTTTCAAGAATTGTCTGAGTATATTTTCCACTTCCTTTTTTCATCTAAAAAAGATGTTTTTTTTTTGTAGTCATTGGCACAGTTTTCGTATTCGCACAGTGTAATGACGCAGTTAACGATGTTGTTAATGTTGATATTATATCGCTGCTTTTCAGAAATAGTGGTCTAAACCAAAATTGTTAATTTTTTGTCTTATTACACAGATGTTTCGTTTGTTTGTGTTTTTGTTTTGTAATTATTAATTTATGTTTTACATTGAATGTTTTGGTTGTTTTGTTTTTGTTCTTGTTTCGTTTTCTTTTGTGGTGTCACTGTGGTAAACAAATAAACGGATTTTTTTTCTTCAAGATGCACTCAGAATGCGCTAAACTTTATTGTGAAAAAAGCCTTCGTCTCACATCCGTCCGAAACAAATCGACTCATCCGAAGAACAGAG